CCCACTAGCCCAGCGCCGACGACACAGCCACCGACGACACCGACGCCATTCTCGCTCTGCAATAACCTGACCGAAGGCATGGTGAGCTACGTCAAGGCCGACAACGGCAAAGGGCTTGGGTACTGCAATGGTTGTTCTGTTCCGGGCTACAAGGTCCCGGCCCGCACCGGCAAGTGGGCGCAAAACGTCAAAGTACGCCGCCTCCCGGGTGGCGAGATTTGCTCAACTGTCCAACCAGAACCAAAAGTTGTTCTGGAGCCGCTGTGTCAACTGCGATCCGAAAAACAAGCCCAACTCGACTTGCGCCACAAGACTTGGCAAAGCTCCAACGCGACACGCTGGAGCTGCGAAGACGTCAGCGAGACGCACATCCGACTCAAGGACATGGAGGGCAAGTACTTAACGCGCGGCGCAGAGCGGACGAGCCTCGACGGCAACTTGATCATGAGCTTGGCCTGGAACGCGACGGCGTCCGCGCCCCAGTTGTGGACCGTGACCACGTGGTGACCCTGGCCCTAAATGCATGCACTAGTACTTGTACTGCCGCTTGCTTGCTTTGATTTTCTTTTGAAAAAACAAATATCGCGAGCAATATGACCTGTGCTGCGTTGTGAAGCGCGCAAGGCAGATGGAAACCGGCCTCGTGTATGCATTTGTCGGTTGCTACTGTGAGATGAGGGACCTCAGCTGGGACTATTGCAGCCCGCTCACTCCAGCACTCGAAACCTTCGCCCGGTCTTCGTCTTATCTATGCAGCGCCTTGCGAAAGCTCCAGTTGAATGAGTCAGATATGGGATAGTATGGGCATCTTCGGGACGTTTGAATTTGATTGGGTCGCGGCTGGGCAACTTGTGTGGTAGCCAGACTACCTGTTGTAGCGCCAGTGCTATCAGTTTGGGTCCTGATAGCTCGATCGCAAGCACTGATCGCAAGCACTGATAGGAGCCCTCCAAAGCGCACATCACCTTCCGACTACGCTTCTGGCGAGAAATTCCATTAAAACAATGGGCTACGGGATGATTTTCATAGATTACCCACCCACTACTTGTATTGTTCACAAGTGTGTCCACAAGAATGAAATCATACCGATGGCTGCCTCGACCTGGGCGATGCGTTCGGCAGCTGTGTCTCTTTCAAGCAGCATTATTCTCTGCGCTACAAGAGGGTAAACCGAGTCCGTGGCGATGGTGGACGGTACATCGCGCCCGCGTCCGACGTTTTGATTGAATTCCTCCGCTTCTCGGACGCTTTGTGCGTAAAGTGCACAGTAGTAGGACGACGACTCTTTAATTTGAATCGTTGGTGTAACCCTGCTAACTTTTCCGTCTCGACCGAAAACTTCATTTTCCAAATCAACTTGAGAACCATGCAGCTCGCTTACGCCCTCGTTGGCTTTATGGCATCGGCCGTCGCCTCGGTTACCGCCACGGACGCGTGTGGTGACACGCCGATCCCGACGACACCGGCCCCGACGACGCCCGCCCCGTCGACGCCAGCACCCTTCTCGCTCTGCAAGACGTTGACCGACGGCAAGGTGATCTACCTCATGGTCGACAACGGCCGAGGCCTTGGGTACTGCGGCGGCTGCCAAGTTGCCGGCTACAAGTACCCGGCCCGCACTGGCGAGTGGGCCCAACCGGTTCATATCCGCATCGTTCCGGGTGGTAAGATGGCGCTTCAGAGTGAGTACGGGGCCCAGTACTGGAGCCGCTGCGCCGACTGCAACCCAGTCAACAAGCCCAACCAAGTCGTCTTGCGCTACACTTCGTTTGATGCGTCCAACACGACCCACTGGTTCTGCGAAGACGTGAGCGACACGCAGGTCCGGTTCAAGGACATCGATGGCAACTATCTGACGCGCGACGCGGAGTATCCGCCAGCCCTCTTTGGCAACATCATCACGAGCTTGCCGTGGAATGCGACCGCGCCCGCGCCCCAGAAGTGGACCGTCGTGCCCAAGTAACAGTTGGGCACGAGACATACTGTCCTACCTTAATCCATCATTGACTGGACTTGAATAATCGACATTGATTCGAGGCTGTCCATTTGGTGTCTCTATGCGTCCCAGCTAAGAGCATCCCCAGCAGTCGTTTTTATACGTAAATATAGCAATTTTTAAAAACGGACCTCCCCAAGAGGCGTTTTTATTTCTAAAAATTTGTAAAAATTCGCTGGTCGTTTTTATCGCGGTCCACTTTAAAAACATCGGCCAGCATTTCCAATCGTTTTTAAGGCGACGGGCAATGGGCGAATTCTAGGCATGAAAACGCCGTCAGAACTCAGCTCGGAGTTTTCTACAGTTGAGGACAGCCATGCCTGCAACACAGAGACCCCAGATGTAGCAGGAACCTCTCTGATGGCACTCGCATTGAGCGATCTGGGCAAATCATATCTGCACACAAGGCGTCGCTGCGCCCGCTGACATGCGGTTAGCTCCGTCGCACAGTCATGAACTGCCTTGATGACTCTCGCTAAGCGTGGCCGCGAGTAGGGCCTAGTCGGTGCTGGCGTCGACGGCGTCACCTTGGAACCAGTGGAGCGCCTCGCTATCGTCGGAATGTTGATCTGTCAGCTGTTGATTGGCAACGTTTGGCAACGCTGTTGGGGAGCTCCGTTTCCATTGCCAACTGGTCGTTTCCAAAGCCACCCGTTAGCAATAAAATGGAAACGACTGCTGGGGATGCTCTAAGCGTCCCTTGTGCGCATGACAACCGCCTGATGCTGGACACATGGCGAGCGCACCATCGTCGCCAGCCGTCGATGCAATCGTCCAGCCCAAGCTCGTTTCCTCAACTCATCACCACCGAGTCGTTCGCTCCGCATGGCATGTGGCTCGCTTATCGGCTTATCGGCCAAGGGCGTGAGATCTGCATACAGCGACACCCTCCGAAGAGGCACGAGGTGGCGTGAGCCACAGGACCCACAAAAACGACAGAGTGTTCACGCATGTGGACGACGTACAATGAATCACCAATGGCGTACCGGAGGGCGCACGACTGAGCGGTTTCTATGCGAATGAATGGCCATGACAGCGCGCTTCTCGTCGCTTCACGGGCATCAACGGTGCGCTCAAAGTCCCGGAGGTAGCGGCAACCGACCGCGCCCTCCCTCTCGCCTCTCGGGACACACTTTTCTATCAATTCATTTCACTAGAGGTCCTACGTATCGCGCCACTGCCTTTGGAGAGCGTCTCAGTGCCCTTCTTGGTGCTCGCCATGCCGCGGACCCTTCTAGAGGGTAGGGTTACGGTCTGCTGTATCAGCGTTGGAAGGATGGACACTGATCACTGGGCACTGATCGCGATTAGCTCGCCCATCGCAATGCTTTTGTCGTACCGCACGCCGTACCGCAGCCACTCTGCCACGCGTCGCACGAAAGAGCTCAATATCGAGCGTGTAGAGGTGGCACCAAAGACAGGTTGTGCGACAACTTGGTTTGTGACTCGCCCAGAAGCTCATTTTTCAATTCGGCTTGCTCGCCATGCAGCGCGTCTACGCTGTCCTCAGCTTTGTGGCCATATCGACCGTCAGCGCCAGTGACGCGTGCGGCAAGACGCCGGCGCCCGCCTCGATCTGCACGACGTTGAACAAGGCACAACGAGTTCTCTCATGGCCGACAACGCGAAATGGCTCGGGTATTGCGACTCCTGTCGCACGACGGGCTACACTGCGCCAGCCCACTCCTTTGATTTTGGCGATCTGACTCAAGTCCGCCTCATTTCCGGCGGCGAAATGGGTTTCCAGAGCCGGCAGAGCGGCCGGTTCTGGAGCTGTTGTGTCGACTGCGATCCGAATACGAGTCCCAACGACGTCGTCCTGCGTCATTACTCAAGAGTCGACCGCGACGCGGCCCGTGCGACGCCCTGTGGCAACACGACCCCGAGCACAACGGGGAAGGCTACCGCAGATCTGGACCGTAAGACAACGTAACCATTGCAATATCTCGTTTTGTAATCACCTCATGGTGGCGATGACAATAATGTCCACTCCTCCTTCTAACTCTCAAACTCACAGACAAAACTCCAAAGAAAAATATCCACCCAAGAACCTAGTCTTTGTTGCAAACACTGGCTTATTCGTCCTTCTTGGCTTCGACAACCGTGTACACCTTGGCGAGGTCGGCCCACGCCACGCGGCCCGCGACCAGGTCGTCGAGCAGAGCGACAACCTTGGCGAGCGGCACGCGGAGCTGCGCGCACGAGTCCCGCTCGCGCACCGTGACGCACTGGTCGCCCGCAGTTTCAAAGTCGATCGTGACGCCAAACGGCACGCCGAGCTCGTCGACGCGCGCATACTTGCGGCCGATCGCGACGCTCGACGCATCGCTCTTGCAGGCGATGCCACGCGCGCGGAGGTCGCGCTCGAGCGCGAGCATGACGGGCGTAAACTCCTTGGCCGTGCTGAGCGGGAGCACCGCGACCTTGATGGGCGCGATCGACGCGGGAAAGGCCATGACACCGCGCTTCTCGTCGCCTTCGCGCGCGTAAAATGTGTGTTCAAAGACGGCCGTGAGGAGGCGGCCAACGCCAAACGACGGCTCAATGACGCTCGGGACAAACTTTTCTTCGAGGAACGTCTTGGTCACCTTCTTCGCGCTCCACATGTCGCGCTCGAGCGCAAAGCTCTTGCCGTCGACAACGAGGTCGGCGCGGCCGGCCGATGCCAGCGTGGCCTCAAACGCCATGGCCGCCGCATCGTCGGTCGCGAGCGCCTGGAGACCCTTGTTGATGTGCGCCATGTCGGCCTTGAACGCCTTCCCGACCTTGCCCTTGTTGACCTTGATGTCGACAATGTCCTTGGCGCGCGGCGCGTCGTACTTGAGCGTGCCGACCATCTCGACCTTGGACTTGGCGGCGTGGACCTGGAGATCGTAGCACGAGCGGTCGGCGTGGCCGGCGCACTCGACCCAGCCCGAGCTCAGCTGGATCTCGAGGTCCCAGCAGTCGCACGCGTAATGGGCCATCTCCGTGTCCAAATGCTGGCGGAAGCGGACGCGCTCCATGTCGATGCCAATGGCCTTGACAAAGGTCGACGTGCGCGCCAGGTAGTACGCGAGCGACTCGTTGGCAATGATCTTCTTGGCGACCGCATCACGGACCGTCATCTGGACTGTCTTGCCCGTCGTAAGCTGGAGCTCCTTCGGGAAGAGGTTGAGGATCTGGTCGGCAACGAGGCCAAACTTGGCGTGCGCCTTGTCCTCCGGGTGCACAAACCACTCGATCTCGGCCTGTTGGAACTCACGGACGCGGACGAGGCCATTACGTGGCGCAATCTCGTTGCGAAACGCGTTGCCAATCTGCGCGCAGCCAAATGGAATCTTGCCGGCGTTGTACTCGAGGAGCCGGCGAAAGTTGAGGAAGATGCCTTGGGCTGTCTCGGGGCGGAGGTACCCGACGTGCGTGCCCTCGGGGCCAATGTGGCACTTGAACATGAGGTTGAACGGCATGGGAAAGGAGAGCGGTGCGCCGTGGCCGGGCGAGAGGATGCCATACTCCTGGATGACGGCGTGCATCTCTTCCGGCGTCAGCGACTCGGCCTTGGTCGCCACGAGGCGGTGCTTCTCCTGCTCGGCCGAGCTCAGCGCCGACGCGTTCTTGGCGAGGAGGTTCTCGATAAAGTCCTCGACGAGCTTGTCGGCGCGGTAGCACTCGCCCGACTTGGTGCACTTGGCCATGAGGTCCGTGAACCGGTCGACGTGGCCGGACGTCTTGAGGACGACCTCGGGCATGATGTTGGTGCATTCAATCTCGAGCACGTCGTCTTCCATGAGGAAGTGGCGGCGCCACGCGGCGAGGAGGTTGCCCTTGAGCGCCGCGCCGGGCGGGCCAAAGTCGTAGAAGCCACCAACGCCACCGTAAATCTCAAACGACGGCACGACAAACATCTTGCGCAAGAGCAAGTCCTCGAGCGCTACAAGTCATTTGAGCCGGCGAAGCGATGCGAAGCGACGTACCCTTCTTGTTGAGCACCGGGCCGGCCGGCTCGGCCATCGCGCTGAGCTGCGCCTTGAGCTCGTTGAGCGCCACGACGGCCGCCGTAATGTCGGCAGCGGCGCCACCGTTCTTCTTGAGCTCGCGCACCGTCGCGCCCTGCCGGGCCACAGCTGCCACGAGGCTGTCACGGTCCATGGTCTTGACTTGGGAAGCGAAAGATGAAAATTGCTGGCAAGGACCTGCGTTTGTGGTCGCTGCGACGTGATTGGTTGAAATGCAAAGGGTCAGATCCTTGCTGGATCGAGCGCCGGCCATCGTACCGGTGCGCAGAGGCAAACGACTCTGTACGGCAGTCGAGCGATCTCTCATTTGCGTTTGGCGAGACCGTTGAGCTCTACCTGTGGACGTCTATACTCTTGCATTTCGCAAGGTCTTGATCTCACTGTGCGATCCAGCAATTAACTGGTGAATCAGCAGCCAAATGGCATGTTATTCGAGCCAATCACCGCGCCGATGCTAGATTCACACAATTTCTTGTGGCACACTTGGGCAGCGCCAGCAGTGGCCAGACGGCGCTGGGTGCTGGCGGGTGGCCACGGATGGCAGCCTCGCCGCCACCACCCATTGGCATCGACGAGCGACAGCGTGCAAGTCCAAGGAGGCCACGCGGCGCAGCGGCGAAGGACGCCATACCGGCGACAAAGCGACGGCAGGTTCTTGTGGCGAGCGGGCTGGGCAAGAAGACGAGAGGGCGCACGATCGTAGTAGGTCCCACCATGGCGAGGTTGGTGCAACGAGCACCACCCATGGCTGTGGCTGCTATCCAGCGATACCAGCTTGTGCTAGCAGCGAGGCAGCGTGATGGCCCGTCGCCACGATTCGTGGTGGATCGCGGGTATGGGAGCGAGCTAGCGCCGCCAGCCTGTTGCCTGTATGAACGCACTGGATTGAATCGAAGAGATACTACACGTCTTGCATTGGGTGTGCAGGTGGCGGCTTCGTCCGACACACCATCGTCCGCCTCCTGCATGACAGACAACCTCGGTACTCCTACTACATGCAACGAGGTTACTGCCGACACGAGCAACCATGTTACAGTTGGTTCCCCTTTCGTTATACGCCCAGCAAACTGGTCGCAGACCCGAGATGGGTTGGTGTACTCTAAGCACTGGTTCTGAGCTTAGTTGGTACAAGTTGACAGCGGCTTGGCAGCGCCTCGAGCTTGTCCAGCATGTCGGTGGCCGCCGCCCTGCTCAAGCTGCCACCCTGCCGAGCCACAGGTGACACTGCCGACGAACGAAGGAAATCGGTCGTACGAGCTGCTGGCGAGGATGTTTGATGTCGCTACGACAAGGAATTTGATTCAAACACGAAGGAGTAGGCAGCCACTGGATCGAGGCTGCGCGCCTCCTCCTACTTGTACAATTGAATGACGAGGGCCCGGTATCTGATGCATTGAATACGTACAGCCGTCCGAGATGGTGCTGGCGTAAGACCTCACGCAAGCCTTCCCGAGGTGGGAGCTATAGTAGTACGACTGTCGTGTGCAGGGCTTGCTGCACCCCGCTGCCCAGATTGTCCAGTCCTCTAAAGATCTGGCGCCAAGATATAATGCATCGCGATTCTAGCAGCGGCGAGATCTAGAGACCAATCAATCCATTCCAGTGGAAAGAAAGAAAAGGTAGCTGGATACACCGGTTGTGGTAATACGGTTGGCGAGGTTTTCGCAGTGCAGTGATCAGTGGAAGCGGCGACAGCACCTTCCGCTCTCTGCTATCGTGCCTCCGGCAGAGAAATCGGGCGCACATATGCATCACGTGTAGCCCTCCGGCATCTCTCTCCGGGACGATACTGGATCGCGAGGAAGGAACTTCTAACCGCAGAAGACGCGCAGTGGTCAGCACGTCATCGCTGCCAGTAATCATGGAGCGCTGGCGACGATGACGTGGGTTTCGCTGCTGCGGATCATGCTATCGGCACGCATGAGTCTGCGTTGAGTTAGCCGCACGTTACCACTGGAACGAACCCATGAGTTCTTGAGCACGTCGTCGCCTTGCAGCGATTCATCTATAAATTATGTGAGCTGTCGCAGTGTACTCTCCTCTTGGCGTATAGTCCGCATCCCAAGATTAGAGCCGCTTGTAGAAGAGAGCTTGCTTTCCCGGTGCCAACAAACAAAAGTAGATAGAGAGTTTACCCTACCCCAAGACAAAGAACTAGGGAGATATAGAACACCATCGATGAATGCATTGTGCGGTCAGCAAAATGGTGTTCGACAGCGCGATATCAGTGTATACGAGGCCTCGTGGTCAGAGGAGGCAAAGTGTCCGAGATGCGCCCACGTTAATTTATGTCAACTGCGCGACATGCAATGCGCTCAAGCGTCGTGTGTGCACTGGACTTCTTGCGCCTCCTTTTATACTCGGCGTCGCCAGCTCTGGCGACAAGGCGCACACGATTCGGGCCATAAGAATCGTCTTCTTATTGGTGCGATTGTTTTGCGGGGTAGGCAGGGGTAGGGCATGTGTACCAACTTGGCCCGAAATTGCGCGGTCGTTAACCCACCCACCGCCAACAGCGCGTCGACACCCCCGCAAAAAGTGTCGTTGGTCTTGCAGTCGTTGGTGTAGTGGCGTCGGTGATCGCAAGATCGCCAGTCGAGTTGGACCAACTCTACGCCGTGCGAGGTCAGTGGATTTTAGAATCTCGCAGCTCGTTTCAGTCGACACAACACCACAGAAGAGGTCTCGCCAACATCAGCAGTCTTACACATGTTGTAGGGATGCGAATGCAAGGACTCGAGGCCAGTGAATGGCTCTGGAAGCAAGCGATGCGTGCGTCACATCTCGCTGCTCCAGTCTGATCTCTGGTCTGGTCTGCTAGCGGCACCTTCATTCACTTCGCACTACGATCGCTCGGTTGTTGTCGCCACCGAGACGAACGGGGACGCGCGTGGCACTAGGCATGACACGCCGACGTGATCCGCGCCGTGATGAGTCGTAGAAGCCTGTGGGCCGAAGCTTGTCGATCGCAAATCGACACGTCAACTTGTTGAAGACGACGGTTCATCGACTGGCGGTGGCGTTGATTGGCAGAGCGCTGTGGACAGCTCAACTCCTCGTGGACACCACTGCACGTGACACACGCCCTACTTGTTGCTCGTGGTTTCTTGAAGCTGAAGTAGTATCTCGTGCCGGTTAGTATGCGTTCGATCACATCCCCGTCTTCTGATAGCGCTTCTGATGCAGCCATAGTCATCACAAGCGTCGTCGTCGATGATAGAAGCCGCCTTTTCTTGCTTACTTTGGCGCTACGTCCCCAGGGTATTTGGTTCTGTACTAGGAGTACGTTGCACCGGTGGCGCTTGAGGACGACACGGGCGAGATGGTTGTGCCGACGTCGTCGGGCCAGCACCAACGACGATGCTGTGGACGCAGTAACGCACTGGCCCCTGCACCACAGTGCAATTGGTGTCTCTTGTACAATGTAGTGGGACTCAAGGAGGGCGATTAGCCATCGCATCCTCCACGCCTCGTTTAGCTATCCAGTCGGTCCAGCATGGAGGCTGGGAAAATCGAACCTCGGCACCCACGCAATCTCATAGTAAGCATGCACGACAGCCATCACAACCCGTGGACGAGACAGAAAGCCTGCTACATTCGATTGGCCTCGGGTGCACAGCCACCGAGGCTGTGGCAGCAAGGACTGATAGCGGTCAGCAATCGCCGAGTGTGTATACGCTCCGTGGTCTGTCACTTTGCACTTGCTCGTTACCCAAGAGTGGCACCCGATGATTTGTGTTTGCTGTCTGGACCGAAATCGCACACACCCTTCGTCAAGAGCCACCCATTCTCGCCTCCCCACCACCCACGCAATGTACCTGCGTCCAGTGTATCACGAAAAATCCACTGCAATCGACAGCAATCTCGACGTATACACTGTATGTCGGCCAGAGAGCGGGCGGCGAGTGCATGGATTGAGGTACAACCGACGTCTGCGATACTGTAGTGCGCGCTGGGACGTTCCGCGTGGCAAAATTTGAGTCGGTGGCACCCAAAGGACCCATCTGGTTTGCCAGCAGCATTCGCACCTGGATCGGTGGGGGGTACCTCGTGCAGCGCCTGCGACACGCAATACAATTGTCAAATTGGTTTTTCAGTTAGTCAACGTCGTCAACGACTCACAAGTAGGGGGCCCCACTCTGCGCTGGCACTATCAGATCGCCGATGCGCGTCGGACGACGGGTGGTGCACCAGTCAGATCTCATTTCGACTCGGAGTACACACAGCAAAACATGGTGATGACCGCGTCTCCCTCGTTTGTCAAGGCCGGCGTCCTCTTCAAGAAGGGGTCGGGCCAAGGCCTCTTCAAGCGCCGCAACTGGAAGCCGCGCTACTTTGAGCTCAGCGAGCACCACCTGCGCTGGTACAGCTACCAGAACGGGACGCAGAAGGGCCAGCTCAACCTCGCTGCGCTCACGGTCGACGCACTCGAGGTCATGCCAAGCGACGCCGTCAAGAAGGGCTCGTCGGCGTCGACGATCTGGCGCATTGCGATCCGCAGCGGGTCGCGCCGCCTCCTCATCTCGGCCGCCAACGAGTCGGAGATGAACGAATGGCTGCTCGCCCTCGTGGGCGTCCTCGGGCCGTCGACCGCCGACCTCCGCATTGTGAGCCCGTCCAAGAAGATTGTGCTCGCGAGCGAACGCCCCGAGTACGTTGTCTGCAAGCGCCACTCGCGCGTCCACTCGGTGCGCAACAGCAGCTTTGCCATGGTCCCGCTCGCCAAGCTGCAGCTGGTCTGAGCGTGCACGAGCTGGTATTTATGTTGACCGAGACGACGACTTGTATCGACGACTATTTATTATCCAAGAACTTATCTATCACAATATATACGACGCAGCCGTGGCGATCGAAGCCATGGCGTCCTGCGCCGCCTTGCTTTTCCATCTCAAGTTCCCTTTGTCTCTTCATAGTATTTCGCGGTAGCCAGCGCGGGCAAAGCAGTGCTGCAGAGAATGCTGCTCGCGTCTCGGCCGCGCCGTTGTGGAAGCCTTTCCTTGAGGTTGCCAGCGCTGCATGGATAGATCAGCACTCGCAGTATCCTCGTCGGACGGGCGAGATTGCCTCGGCTCGCCTTTACCGTTGGACTTACTACTGTCGAGCGGCGGTCGTGCGCAGTGAGAAATATCAAACGAACGCCTCCGAATGCGCGCCCAGTACTGCAGGTTCTATGAGAACTTGGTATCTTCGCGCTTGTATCCTGGCCGGATACTTGCGAATGATAGCTCTCAATCGGCCGCAGACAGCTTAACGCAGAGGTACTTGTATACATCAACGTGCACGACTCGAGTAGCCGCTCAGTATGTGGCCGCATCCGCTGCATGGATGTGTACATGCCGTGTAAATGAGCCCGCGTCAAACTCTGCAAGTCGAGGCTGCCTCGCGAAACTGCCACGTCTTCCGGTAGTGCTACTGGCGCAAGATAGATCGAGGGCCGCAAGAACAACCTTCGACGCTACTGCCAACGATGGTACTCGAGAACGTTCGTTGGCTCGTGCTGAGCGTTACGACGCCGCGTCTGTCCAGTGACGCCATCTTCTTGTCGAGGGTGCCCCGGGCTTGATGCTCGGTCCCGACGTCGGCGTCGATTGACGGCGACGACCATCATTCGATGTCCTAGGCATTTGCCGGTGGTGTCCAACGCCGCCGCCGATGTCGCGGATGGCGCGCCTCGTAATCGCGGTGACTACACTGTATCTTTTGCTTGTTTGTCGAAGGTCGACACAAATGGCTCGCGCGGGACGACTCGTCGTTGTCTGCGCGGGTTGTGCAGATGTATTCACCTCGGTCATCCTTGATGTGCACTAACCGGGTTGTTGTCGTCGATACACCGACCGATACACCCGCTGACAGCACGCTGGATGAATTGTCACAAAATGAGTAGGTCCCCCTATATTTCTTTTGCACGTTGTGTTTTAGAGGGACCTTCCGATACAGAAACGCAGATACTTGAATGCAAAGTGAACATAGAATGCGATACGGGGCCCGACATTGCACTTGCGAACCGTGGGATGGCCTGGCTTGCGTGCACGTACGTTGTCAGTCTCGAAATTGCTTGGTCGTACGCAGCTCCAACGACGAACTTGATTGATGCAGCCAACCTCTAGTACCATCCTCAAAGCTGGCGTGCTCCACAAGAAAGGGTCCGGCGCTGGCCTCTTTGGCCGCCGCAACTGGAAGCCGCGCTACTTTGAGCTCACAGGCACCCTCCTCTCGTACTACGACTTTGCCTCGCGCCAGCTCAAAGGCGTCGTGAGTCTCGATGCGATCGGCGTCGACGCCATCGAGTGCATGCCCGAAGACGCGGTCAAGACGGGCTCGTCGGGCTCGACCATCTACCGCATCGGCGTCACCACGCCGGCGCGCCGCCTTCTCCTGTCGGCGGCCAACGAAATCGAAATGTACGACTGGATCGACGCGCTCGTCGAGGTCGTCGCGGCCAACGCCAAGAACAAGGCGCTCGCCAAAATCGTGCTCGGCTCGGACGTCAAGGCGTCAACCGAGCACTCGCTCGCGTCCAAGGTGGCGCACGGTGTCTCGCTGGCCCCACTCACACGCCTACCAAGCACCCTCACGGCCTAAGCGCCTCTCCTGCCCTATTTAGTCTTGTAGTATCATATTTTCCCAGTGCGTCGTCGTGTCGATGACAGAGCGATTCGTATATTCCCAATATGTCATTTATTTATCCTCGCAATGTTCTCTCTTGAACCAAAGTAGTGGGGGCCAAGTACACATGCAAGCAATGAACTCAGGCGGCCAAGAGTGTAGTCGAATTTGATTAACTAGAAAGACTGCGCGACCACGGACATCGAACGCACCCAATGCATGGGTCGCGGCCATCCACACGCGATTGAGTGGACATGACAGCGCTGTCTCAGTCGTGTGCACTGAGACTGCAGGGGATCGTGACCTGGTCCGGTCATCGGAATGAGAACACGATCACAAGAACCTCGTTGGGGAACGATGACGAGGCGAGCATGGTTGGACTGTCTACATGCTGACATCGTACAACGGCTGGAAGAAGG